TAGTTAATTATTAATAAAAATGTTAATGATGAATTGGTAAATCAAAAAAAAAAGATTATTTCAAAATGTAAAACTCAGTTTTATCATCCAGATTTCTAAATAACGATAACATAACATGAATGTACAGCCCGTAATAGCCCCTCCTTTCGGAATACCTACCACTTCGACAACGATTGCCAGGAGGTTTAAGCCCATTGAAACATGTGATAATTGCAAGCTACGTAAAGTAAAGTGTGACAAAGAGCGTCCACAGTGTGGTACCTGTCGTAAATCTAAGCGAGAATGTAAATATGAACTTTCTGCATCATCAAAGCGTGGACGGCCGAGAAACGAAGTCGAAATTTTACAAGAGCAAATCGAGGATATTCAAAATATACAGTACCATCAGTTGAATCAAATGGGATCTCTACTAAAAATGGCTGTATTACCTGATGCTCAAGAAACAATGTCTATGGCTAGTGATAATAATGCAGTGGGAATGGATTATCTTATGCCAAATAATCCTGATCAAATTAATGGAAATTTTTCTACCGATGAAGCATATGTAAGCCACAGTTTTTTTTTTTTTTTTTTTAATGAAAATTTTATGAATGTGAAATGAAATGGTTTTATTTATTTGTCAGGGGTGGAACAATTTTTATTCTCCCTTAATAAGAGAAGAAAGTCCTCCACCAAGTTTAAATCTAGATCTTTCAGGAGATACCTTAACGTTCTTTACGGAATTTAAACCAGACAAATCCGATTTACCAATACAGGTTTGCTACAACTGTAATTCTCCAATATCTCCTTCAAGTATCAGATTGATACTAACAAAAAAACTTCTTTTTCAATAAAAGGACATTCCAGATACTGTCCCAACAACATGTGATGCAGACGTCGCCTATCAATCACAGGATCCTTTGGATCAACTCGCTGCTAAATTTAAATCTTCTCTATATGTGGGCCCTTTATCTTTAGTAACATTAAATGATGATGGAGAAGAACAACTCATACCTCAAGATGATTTTTCCGATTTATCTTTAGTTGACAATCAACTAAAAGTTTTACCAATTCCTGGAATTGCAGAAAGCTTGATTGATGTCTACTATCAAGTAACTGAAACTTTCATTTTTCATGGATTTAGCTTATTTAGCTTGATTCGTAGTGTTAAATTTACCTACTATTAATTATATAGACAGCGTACAGACACTATCCTCATTTAAAGAAAAAAGTTGTGTTAGATTGTTTTAGAGAATTATCGAGGCCACAACATTTCCTTTTACTCAATAGCGTGTTTTTCGCAGCTTCTCCATTTCATCCTAACACGGATTTACGTGATAGAGAGACTTATCACCAGGCATGAAACTAAAAATAATAATAAATTTGCTGATACATATATGTTATATAACTTTATTGATCATATTGTTAACTATAATATAGAGAGCGCTAGGTAAACTTTGGACCAAAATGAATATTACATTCTGCACAAAAATTACAATTAAAAATTTAAATATTTGTTAAAATTAGCATTACTACAAACCCATTGTCTCAAAACTCCACATGTCTTAACTGTTATTAGTTTGTTCATACTTGGGCTTCACGTTAGAAGGGTAATATTTTGATATGTTTTTATTATTGTTCTTTTTCGATATCTTTTTTTTTTAACAAATTGACTTTACATAATTTGTAGACAGGAATTGTATGGATATATAATGGAATTGTATCCAAAATGATATTTGAATTAGGATTGCATCGTAAAGTCAAGAGTGATCAGATTAGTGACGAAGTTAAAGAAATGCGAGATATGGCATTTTGGGGGTTTTTTGCTTCTGAAACGTGAGTTTTACATTTTGAAATAATCTTTTTTTTTTGATTTACCAATTCATCATTAACATTTTTATTAATAATTAACTA